CTCTCCTAAGTGTGAGTTTTGCACAGTGTGTGTGTGTGTGTGTGCGTTCCCCGTGACAAACGTGATCATTGTCGTGCGCGGGTTCTTGTGAAGTGTGTAGCCTATGAGTGCTCCCTATGACGTGGGCGATCTCATTGTTTTGCGTAGGTTCTCGCAAATGTGTGTTCACAACGAGTGTGCTCCTGAAGAGTGAACCGGTTGTTCACGTCTTTCGGCATGGTTTTTCGCACCCCACCTGTGCTGATCCGCCGTCACATCAGCCCCAGAGAAAGGCGCAGCTGCTCTTGCACATGGCTGCTGTCTCCGCCAAATTCCGAATTGCCCCAGGTCACAACAGCCCCAGATTCAAGAACGGCAGCAAACGCACCGTTGGCAGTTGCTTGGATGCATTGGACGTTCCTCAGCTGGTCTTGCACCTGGCTGCTGTCTCCGCCATCGCGTGGATCACCCCAGGTCACAACAGCCCCAGATTCAAGAATGGCAGCAAAAGCACAATCAGTTGCCTGGATGCACTGGACGTTCCTCAGCTGGTCTTGCACGTGGCTGCAGTCTCCGCCAAAGCCTGGACAGCCCCAGGTCACAACAGCCCCACATTCAAGAATGGCAGCGAAAGCACCCTGAGATGCTTGGATGTGCTGGACGTTCCTCAGCTGCTCTTGCACCTGGCTGCTGTCTCCGCCACGCTCTGGATGACCCCAGGTCACAACAGCCCCAGATTCAAGAATGGCAGCGAAAGCAAGGTTAGTTGCTTGGATGTGCTGGACGTTCCTCAGCTGCTCTTGCACCTGGCTGCTGTCTCCGCCCTGCGTTGCACCACCCCAGGTCACAACAGCCCCAGACTCCAAAATGGCAGCAAAAGCAAAGCCAGTTGCTTGGATGCGCTGGACGTTCCTCAGCTGCTCTTGCACTTGGCTGCTGTCTCCGCCACATTTTGGAGGACCCCAGGTCACAACACCTCCAGATTCAAGAATTGCAGCAAAACCACCACGGGAAGTGGCTTGGATATGATGGACGTTCCTCAGACGCTCTTGAACCTGGCTGCTGTCTCCGCCATAGTCTGGATCACCCCAGGTCACAACAGCCCCAGATTCAAGAATGGCAGCAAAAGCAGCGGCGTTTGCCTGGATATGCTGGACGTTCCTCAGCTGCTCTTGCAGCTGGTTGCTGTCTCCGCCACCTGTTGGACTACCCCAGGTCACAACAGTCCCAGATTCAAGAATGGCAGCAAAAGCACCTTCAGTTGCCTGGACGTGCTGGACACTCCTCAGCTGGTCTTGGATCTGGCAGCTGTCTCCGCCACAGCGTGGATCACCCCAGGTCACAACAGCTCCGGATTGAAGAACGGCAGCAAAAGCAGTGATAGATGCTTGGACGTGCTGGAAGTTCTTTAGCTGCTCTTGCACCTGGCTGCTGTCTCTGGCATATTTTAGATCACCCCAGGTAACAACCTCGCCCCCGTGGCCATGCCAAGCGAACGCAGACCTAGTGGCAGCCAGTTTGCCAAGGTTCACAACCGCATCCACCACATCCCCATCTCGCAAGCCAGCCTCACTCAGCGTGGCCGTCGAATCGAGCTGCCGGCCTTTAGCAATGAGCTTCAAGCGACGCTTGAAATGTTGCTGCGCTGCAGCCTTCAGCTCGCTGATGGGCATTTTCGGTGAGACTTCTACGGACCAACCATCTCCACTGGGCAAGTGAACATCCACCTTCATGGCGCAGGAAGGTTCTTCTGCGTGTATTCAAGCTGCCAAACATGAGCCTGGGGCACGAGAACATACAAGAACATTTGAACTAGGGGATCCCGTTTTAAGTCTGATCCCTGCTCCGCTGCTAAACGTTTAACTGTCTGTTGGTCAAATTAGGAATCCCAACCACCTTTCACCAACTAAAAACAACTAAAACCTGTCAGGAACCGAACGATTCGCTGGTTGAACCACCAAGTATTTGCGAGGCTTCAAGTCCTTGGACGAGCAAAACCACCGGTGAGAACGGTAAAACTGAGCTCCCGAGCGCTCCGAGCCAAAGCAAGACATGTCTGCGAGTCACACGACAACCTCACCATGGGTCTCCTTTTTGGTTTGATTGAACATTTGTGGCGATTACCCCTGGTAAACAAAGAAAAACATCTACCAGGGCCATCCTTTTTAAGATCCGGCCCCCAAAATGGTGGCTTTTCCTTTTGGTCTCCCTTTTGAAGCCCCTCAAAAAGGGGGTACCTATCCGCGGCTTCCCTTTTAGCTGTGCCACCTACTTTAGCCAGTTAAAATGGATTGGGCTAAATTGGCTGGTCCACCCCCCCCATGGGTACCCTAACAAAAACAGACCTACCGTGGATGGACGAAATCGTGCCTCAAACACCCTGGAATGATGATTCCCCTGTAAATAACAACAAACAGTGGTTTCAACCATGGTTGCAAAGTGGTGCGAACAGATTTGGTCCATCCACAGTATGAACCGTTGAACCACCTGGTACACCAGGGCTCTTGCCCCCCAAGTTTCA